CTCCGAGCATTATTCTGCCTGACTGGCCAGGGGAGAACTCAAATCAAGCAACAGTTACGTCTTGGACAGTTTGGTCATATCGCTTCCCCACAGTCTTCCTTCAAAATCCTATAAAAAGTAAAAACGGCTCAAAAAGAGTGAGTATTCATCGCTCATGTATAGAATAGGAGTTGGCGATTCAACAATCGAGCCTTGTAATCTGCATACAGAAGAGGTAAGTGCATTTTCTCATTTTGCCGTGGTCATAACCCTTAATTCATTGCTGCATTACTCTTGTTGACTGGTTATTTTCACTTTACGGTTTACTTTCCTTCGTCTTTATATATTAGTTCCAGTTTCCCACTAAAATCCTAGTAATATTTCATTCTAACTATTGGTTACAATTAGGATCATTACTCTTCAATGTTAGTTATCACCGTGATCGACCGCGTATTTTCCCATGAATAAGTAATCTTTGTCTAGCCCTAGAAACGACTCACTATTTCATCCAGTAACATTCCGTTTTGATGACCTGTTAGCCAATAATAAACCTGCGTTTTTATTACTATTTTTTACTACTAAGTACGACTGTACAACTACCAAAAATGATTTATCGAAAAGAAAACCTTCTTAGCTGAATTACTGTTTTTTGGATTATCACATTTCGTACGCAATTTTCACTCCTATATTATTTTCCTGATCACACACTAATAACAAACATTAATTAACAAATGTTGACATTTTTAAGTAATGAATATGCACTCTAGTTATATTTAAATGTGATTGTACAGGTGAAGAGGATGATATCGTCGAAAACAAATTTATTCGTTGGTCTTCATTATTTTGTAACTTAATGGGAATATTTCAATTTTTAAAAGGTATCCCAAAAGTCATCCAGTAAATATCACTGTTTCGTGCACATAATGTAAGAGCTGAAAAGAAAAATAGTAACCGACCAAGTCAGTGGAGTATGCTGGAGCACATTACTTAACAAGTGAAGGTTGTGTATCGGGACCATAGGTTTCCAGCAACAGCTTACTGTGGAAGATATTTGGAACAGGAACAGTCGAAATCGTTAAAGGAGGCAACTCACAATCTAGATACTTGTTCAGAGTTATACACTATTCACCTGCGGATTCTTAGCATTAACTCCTGACGTCATATTGAAAAACACGTTTGGGACACTAAATATTCCCATTTCAGATGTTACAATCAAAGATTCGTTACTTGAGATACGATGAAAAAAGAATGATTGTAATTGATAATATCTACCGGTGAGGTGGAGAACAATCGAAAAGAAGCCCCAAGATTGAGTTTTGTGTTCCACAGCAAAGCATACCCACAACCTGGAGGGAAGTGATAAACGTCAGACATCTGAATCCACGCCATTCAGTACTACAATCAGAGATCTTATCTCTGAAATATTGGAGCTACAATAGGCCTGCTGTAGGGCTTGAAGTAATGAACATCATGTCTAGCCCGAAATGCTGATGGAATTATATCGATCAAGTTCATTAAGTCTTCTAACATAGCAACTACACTATGGAATTCGGTCAACACGTAGAAATGGATATGATGATATCAAACACTATTTAGTGACGTTTATATCTGTACTGTATTACCCAAATCTAAAATTAAGACAGTTTGTATGATCCCTTTTATTAGTACTTAAGAAGAGATTGCCACTTCATCTTCATACACCAAAGTTTCACATCGATAAACTCTAATATGTGTTTACCTGCTTCGCCATCTTGTTGCCTCTGGTGGACTTTTAAATCTGATTATTTCTGATGAAAAACCCACGATAAACACAAGAAAACTTCCTAAGAAATTTGTCTTTTTAAAAACTTACCATGTATGCTGCAATAGTACTCAAAGTTCGATAATATTCCCATTACTACTCTGAAGAAAACTATATCGTATTCATTTGGCAATTTTGTTTTTCACGTAGTTTTATGAAGGGTATTTATTTCACGCAGAAACACACAGTTAACTGCACTCCGTGCTGTGTAGTGATTCTGTTATGTGTGATCGAGTGTTGAAATAGCCAATCGGGTTACGGTATTTAGTCTGAGAAGTCAGTTTTTCATAGAATAAAGAAACGTAATTAGTTGCCTCAACAGTTATTAGAATGGCCTTTAAAATCCCCCATGCGGTCATCATCATAAAGGAATCAGGCCATTAAATATCATTAGATACCCACGAACACAATATGATAGACAAACAAAATCAACGTAGAAAGTGCATCGGTTCAAGTTGCCACACTTCACAGCAGTATAGAAGCAACAAGTGGATAGAAAAAGTGATATCAGTGTAGATAAAGTAGTTTGAGAGAGCAAACAATCTGAAGATAAAGGTTAGCGCAAATATTTAAGCTTTAGATGTCAAGGGGTGAGTCACCAGGAACCCTCAATCACTGATTCTTATCATCTCCGGGACCCCAGCCATGCAGTCAACACCTCCCAATATGGGTCACACCAACAGTCACGGACTTTGTCGGTTAGTGCCACGTCTTGCTCTAGCCACCCTGGATACAAACACAATATGGCTATCAAACATTATGGTTTGAATTTATAAATCACCCTGCTTATATACAATTGCAGTCGTTCAATTGGGAAAGCTTTGAAATCTTAGGAGAGGTAGGTTAATAGGAAAAAAGATAACTCTTGAAAGTATAGCATTCAGATGAAATGGCAATCAATAGATATATAGGCATGGAAGGCAAATATGAAGCATTAAAGACTGAACTTATGAAGAACCTGAGTGAAGAAGAAAAATATATCAACTATACAGAAAAGAAAAGTGGAAGTGATAAGATATAAATGTATCAGACTCTTCAATTCAAGCATAACTAGAGAGATTCAATATGAAAAAAGAATTAGAATAAACAATTTCGAATTATTAGGATTCAACGAATCTAGAAAAGGAAACCTATAATCAACCTTTCTGAAAAATCAGAAAAGTGAAAGCCACCAATATCTTGAGAGCTAGAAGATTAAAACTAATCAAAGCATACTTGTCTAATGAAATTGATAGAGTCAATCAATCAGAAGAAACAGTTTACGACAAATAATGCAGATTAACAAGTCGAACGTTTAGAGGGCAGCTGTTCAATATTCAAAATTCATATGAGAGAAAGCTCACCCCAACTGGAAAAAAGACAACTTCAAACTAATAAGCAACCACTTAGATCAGATGAGTATATTTACTCGAGCGAAAATCACAATCTTCATCGGTTTTTAAATTGTATTGAAGAAAATAACTACAAAATCATTGGATGCTCTACCTTGAAGAATACAAGTTTGGACGATACCTGTATCACACAGTCAGACAGATAAAACCAAAGTAGAACCTCGCACAGAAGCACATCAGTTCAAAGAGCCACAGTTCACAGCTGATGCGTAGAACAAGTGAGTAGGAAAAGTGATATCAAAATAGGCGAAAGTGGGTTTTCCTACTTCATGTAACACTGCACATCGAGGTAGGCGGCCGCTCGGTATGCGCATCATAAGTCGAAGCCACCTCAGTTAGTGAAGGTGCACAACCTCACCGACTGACATGACTATTTTACCTGAAAGGATATATTCTTCACCACAGTACGTTTTTAATAACGACACTTGAATATCATAAGCCAATGAAATAATTTCTTATTAGCACCCGTTTAAAATGGGAAGATAAACGAAATAGCTCTCAACTAATACACTACAACTTGATGACTCTACGGACCAATAGAAGTACTTACAGGATTCATTTAGTAAAGTCTACGAAGATGCAACAACCGATTTTCATTGCAGTTTTTTCGAAAATAAAACCATAAGGTAATATAATCGGGTCGACTTCGACAACGAAGTTATAAAGTCCAATCTACCTATTGTATAGAATATCCTGCTGACTTATACAACCAGATGATAACCACTCACTTCAATTACCATAGCTTTCTAGGCGAATAAAATACGAAATGGCGATTTCTTCAAGTTCTTAGTACACTGGGTATACTGATTCCGTTTACAGAACTGGGTTACTCGAACTAGCCAGCCGTTACAATACAATGTCAATTTGTATTTTACTTATCAGGCTGTTGTATGATGTAATGTAAGAGGAACAAATTCTTTGCACGAATAAACTGAGCTAGCTTGGCAACAAATGAAGTTTGAATGCTCTCCCACATATTGGCAACATATGAGACAGTTTTTCATAAAATACTACTTTCATTTTGCTTTGTTGTGACACGGCAGCTTGAGACAACTGAAATCCAGATATATAAGCGATAAAAATCGCAGTGAATTGTGAAACGTTTGCTGTAAGCCAGTAGATCACCAACATGCATCAGCAAGTCCTGACGCGATCGACTTTAGAACCTTCAAGGTGTTGCAGCGAACTTAGTAATATTAGGTTAACTTTGTTTCTTGAAATTACCTATACCAGGTGTAGCATATATTTCATCGTCGTAGAAGGCATGTCGTCGAACTATACGATAACGCAAAAGAATTATGGCATTATATGCATATATCACGGAGGAACGAAGACACAATTTTGCATTAACAGTATTTGCAGAGGTGCATGGCGGAATCAACAATCGGAAAAGAGAATAATAAGCGAAATAATTATGATGAAAGAATAAAATGACAAGATACAAGTTATATCATACATATATGAAGAGGTGTACTCCACAAAAGAAAGTAGGTGGTTGTTTGTAAACAATAATGTCTGTACTAGTCAAAATTGAATGAGAAAGTCGCATTGACTGTTCAACCACTAGAATAGTCTGACAAGTTTAACTGTCGCAACGATATGGTAGGCAAAAAAAAGCCAAGGTGGACTGAAAGGAAGACGATCATGTGCAACAAACAACACAGTAATAGAATACCAATGTAAATTATTATTTCAGCATATCACAATAAGATGCCAGTTCTCTCTCTCTCTCCAGGAAATGTGAACTTCTCGGTGCCTTGAATGTAGCTTGCACATATTAAATATGTACGTATTGTGACCACGTACAATGTACATGTGATTGATTTTGCTTAAAAAATCAAATCCAACACCTGATTTTTAAATGTTTCCACAGGACAATATGGGCATTTCATTCGACTGAAATGAAATAATAATAATGATGATTAATATAATAATAACAATAATAATAATAATTACATCGAAGATAATAAAAGAGATACAAAAGATGAGGTAATTCTTTTTAATGTTTCGATAGAAATTACTGGCATACAAATGAATAAGAACAAAATGTTATGGTGACATAAGCATTTCAGTAGTGCAATCTAGTAGTCGAACCAAATACTTACGTCCTAATACACTGTGATGTTTCAGTTTTTAATTGTCCTTTCAAGTGGTTACAGCAATCCAAACTTAGACACAGTGAAATCGGCAACTGGAAAACGCACTTCGGGAAACAATCGTCAAACACTAGTGAAATCAACTAATGAATTTCTGTAATCAGATATTCAACAGAGAGGAGATCTGTGCATAAATAACTGCAACATATAAGATTGACAGTGAAGCACAGGTTTAGGTTTTCGCCTACCAAATTCAAGTCTGATATACGTCAGTTATTTGGATATCAGGGGAGCAGCCGTTCGCTTTGTTGTACAGTAACAATGTGATAATATTAGTGTTCATGCTTGTATTATACCGTCGTTGATTGGACCGAATTGACCGGTCTCTATTAGCATATGGGCTCACGTGCGGATGCCTCGATATTACCTGTGCTTTAATGATAGTATTGATGGATAGTGGCTAGCAGTGGAATCCAGGATGTGCATTTCGTCCTATTTGGGACTCGTCAGCTGGGTGCAACTGCCTCCCAGTAAGTAGTGTTGTTCCCACCGGTAGCAATCGCTTCAAACGCCAGAGAGTTATCCCTACACCACCGAGCCGCGATAGCCACTTCTTGTCCGAATCCCGGTGGCTACAACACTACTCACTGGAAGGCAGGTATATCCAGATGACGAGTCCCAAATAGAACGAAATTCACGTCCTGGATTCCACGGCTAGCCACTATCCATCTTTACTATAATGTGATAATATATCAATGAAACGTTTGTGCATTATGGAATGGATTAAAGTGCTATAGGTAAATTTGTAAAGCAGTTTCTATACAACGACAGTTTTTATTTCGGTGTTACCCGAAGCAAAATTACTGCCCTCGATCACACCAAGAGTTTGGAAATATTTTAACAATATTTATTCCACGGTGTTATCAAAAAAGGAATTAAAAATTTATTTATAATGCATCAACAATAAGCGTGAAATATATGAGAAACCCTATGGGGATCACACTAACAAGAGAGCGATATTCAAGTGGAGCATTTTGTAAAGACAGATAAACCAGTTGTTGTAGTCACACTGGTTAGAGTGTTCGGGACATGTCACTGCCTACCATAATGAAATTTACTACGCGAAACAGGAATACAACTAGATGGGTAGAAGATGCAGCACTGATATATGTAGTCCCTTACAGTTGGTCTAGAAATGCACTCAGTAGCCTTGTGCACATTCGTGAAGTGAACAGTGAGGCACACCTATTGTATGACGGCTAGTGAAACTATCTGGTTGCTCAAATCTCGGGAGGTGGAGTAGGACTCGAACCCCGTGTCCCATAGGTTGAAAATTATCTCCCTAAAACAATGAACTACAGCTCCACATAGTCAGTCTAGGAAGCATGAAGAAGTATCATTCCCTGGGATGCAAAAAATACAAATGATAACAAACTTTATGAAATATAGCCAGAAACATGTTGCAATCATGTGGCTACATTCTTTTGTGTAGCGCATTTCTTGATGCCCCCACTGCCCGTTTCTATTTCAAATTGGAGGAATATATTTTAAAAGGATGGTTGTATTAGATTATAACTATTTGAAAGCCTCCTTTTAAGGAAGTCCCTGATGCTGTAGAAACAAAGCAGAACTTTTCCATATTTTAAATATTTACCGTGTAATTTTCATATCATTTTACAATTAGCGTTAGATGCCGTTTTCTGGTATGATTTTTCGCAACTAACGCCAATAGCCTCACTGGTGTAGAGAAGAGAAGGGTCTAGATATTCTAACTGACGTGTTTTCTCAAGTACCAAAATCTATGCAATCGTAAAGCAAGTCCTAGAGAAGGTTCAAAAGATATTTGCAGATATCAATGAGGTATACATTCATCTTTAAAGGAATCTATCCTCCCTTCAGGCTTAAATCCGTTCTATTCGACGCTACAACTAATATTACAGAAAAACGTTGCTTTGAATATACCATACCATACACCATATCATGTAACATAAGATGTCTTCACTTTTTCATTTTCGAAAGGTCATCTTCCTTTTGAGCACCACTAAATTACACAAAGTGCTAATAACGATGAATAGCGAGATAACTAAGTTGATAGCCATTGAATCAAATTTATTCTATTACCTTCAACAACACATTTGAGTATTAGGCATTAGACAATGAGTTCGAAATCCGACCTCATTCAAGTTTTGTACTCACTGACACTCATCAACAGCGTACAACTAAAACCTCGAGGAAGTACACATTCCCTCGAAAATTCGAACCCGTGTACCTTAATGGAGTACCAGTAAGCCATTTGAGTTGCAACTATCCTCTGGTAGAACGTTATCAGGTACACTGGGAAAAGGTGAGTCAACGATGTAGCATTAAAAATTGGAAAGATGGAATCTAATAAGCACTTAACATTAGACAGTATGAAGTCAGCTATTATTCACTGTTCAGTAGTAAGAGCAATGCAAGCGGCTAACGACATACAGATTCTTGTACTGAAAAGTCGATCATACCTACGATGTAGTAGTTACCCAGAGGATAAGGCTGAGAGGAAAATGAAGGAAGTTTAAGGTTCATTCATGTTCTGCAAGATGACCACCTCAGGTTTTTTTTATTGAAAATGGTTATAACAAGACCACTGGACTGTTCAAGCTTCAAAAGGTTGGATAGGACTGGAACCTATGAGTTAGCACCACTAAAAGTCAAGAGTACACACTATTGAATCAAAGTCTTTAGTTACCAGAGTGCGAGTCATTTCTAAACTTGCATATTATGAGCGAATGATAAAAATAGGCTTTCTAACCTTCTGTCACCACTGGCTAAAGAATTGAATGCATCCCTTGATATAGCATGACCGCATGTGAGACGTACAGGACCACTGCCACTACCACTGCCATCATTCGACTCAGAGATAACTTCTTTGATAACAGGACAATGAAAAATATTATGACGATGAGCACTTGGATCCAGTTTCACAGCAATCTGTAATAAAAATATAACATATATCTGTTAGATTGTGTTTTATGACTGATGAAACTTTGCATGGCACTAAGTGAATCTATTTTTCTGGTAATTTTGATTTCAATTGGGAAATTCGTTTTATTCCTGAAACAAAAGCGTTTCAAACATAAACGAGTTCATTCAAAAAAGACTAGACTTCGACGAGGAGCAATAGTTTGTGATCACTTTTATATTGGCTTGATTGCTAGACATTAATGAGATGTTAGGTTGTAGTTCACCATGGACTGAAATCAATTGGGAGAACATTGGAAAGCTGTTTCCTCCCACTTAGATGGGACTCCTCAGCACTGCGCACCCACGACCCCGCCCAGCCAGGGGTCGGATCCAGGAACTTCACGTTCAGTGACCAGCACATTACCATTGAGCCACTGGGTCGGAATCAAATGGTCCATATTTTCTACTTCTATCAGTTCACTATGTAGTGTAACCCACATCCGATGTCGTCGTTGAGTAACTGTCCTCATGTTCAACTTGGTTAGTCACGACTTCTCATTGGAACTTCGGGAATCACCACGCGAAGTTAGTCACCAATGAGCGCTGGATTAATCCTATCTGGAGGTTTAAATTTCCACAAATCTCCAGACAGAATTAATGAGATATCTTAGTTATCGTTGTTGTGACCAAAAAAGGTTACAAGGTGTTAGGCTATATAGTATATGGAGGGTTGAATATTTGAGCTAGTGATTTAAAACAGAAACTTTGGTAGAACATATAGTTCCATAAGTATTCGAACTTGTGCTGTACAACACAGTTATCTACACTGTTACTGTTGAGTGTATCGCTAAACATCTAAGTTGTGTTCTTATCACTGCTTATGATCGAAATCTATTCGCGGAAGCAGCACACCGACTTGGTTGGCATACGGTTTCAAGATACATATTCATTTAGTCCATTCATGATAGAAGTATTGAAACATGCATTATAAAAGCAATATAACAACAGTATGGAACAATGCTAATAAAGGAGAAGTCAAATTAGAACGTACCTCAGTTTGCAACCATTAACTTTCTTGTTTCTCGCTTACTATCTGTACACAACATAACTGAAGGCTATTGAACAGCCAGAGCGACTGGCTTCAGATGCGATGCCCAAAAGACAGAATCCCAACCCATACATGAATATACTTAATTCCGTGATCTCTCTCATAAACTGACAATTTATTAGTTCCTTTCAGTTCACCTTAATGTAAGGAAGCAATCTCCAGGATAGAAGATGATGGAATAACGTTATGAAAGTGTGCTAAAGTTACTGAAATTAGTGCTAGAAGATGAATTTTCTTGCTGAATAAAAGCATCACCAAAGCTCAACACACAACGCTGGAAGCTAAGACTACGTAAGTGGTTTACCTATGGAGTACAATCAATTCTGCAATGACAGTGGTGATTGAACACAAAGAGTCGTTAGTGTCTATCAACAGTTGGGCTATTCACTATCCCATAAAAACATGTCTACTGTACGATTTGCATTAATTTACGAAAATTGAAAGCGGTAGTTTTAAAATAAACATTACACGTTTCATTTTGACTATCTGAGATGATTGACGGTGAAATAGAAATTTGAACCACGCGAGATCGGAACCAGTGACCACTGGGTTTCCCGCCCGGTGCTCTACCAACTGAGCCGCAAGACCGACTGCTGAGCAAACTTTCATTTGACTTCAAACGCCACGAATTCACATGACAGTCGGGAAAAACCCTTGGTGATTGAAGTGAAATAAAAATCTGGTCAGTAGTCGAGTCTCTAAGTTAAATTGGGGTCAGAACCTCAGTGGCTCAAATGTTCATTTCCCTTTCAGTCATCACCCAGTATAAATAATAAGTTTCGTCTCATAAAGGTTCCAACTTAACAACTTGAAAATGTTCATACATTTCTTCGCTAGTTAAATATGTTTGTTACTATTTTCTTTTTTCAAAGCTTGAATTGTGCTTCTGCATAAAATGCAATAGTGTTTTCTAAATTAACCTTTCCCACTCGTATGTCTGGTTCCTTTCACATAGGAGATCTGTTTAAAATATCTTTCCTGAGGTCACATGATGCATCAGCATGGAGTGCAAGTAGTTCTTGCAACTAATCGTTTCCATTCGTGATATACGATTTCGTAAGACGAAGACAATTAGAAATATTCGGCAGCTATTTACTGGATTTTAAAGTCTGGTGAAGCCATTGATTTGAAGTACATGACTGATAGAACCCAACTTTCTCACGTTCAGTGGTAATTTCACACTCCAGGTTGGCAAGGTCATTTAAGCTTCTAAAAGTGTATGAAGAGAGTCGTCTCTTCAAAAATTCGAAACAGTTAATTCCCTTTGTGAATTTCAACTCAACAATAAGAAGTAATTTGTCTGAGCTTCAAGAACTACTTGCAACCATGTTGATGCATCATGGGTTTTATCAAAATTATCAATAATATCTCAATTGAAATTTCTACAGTTCTGTTGTACCGTTACTCGCAAAAAGAAGAAAGGGAATATGCAAAGGAAGTTAAGTAAGTCACCTGCCGATAAAGTATCGCATTAATTCTTTCCCTATCAATCTGGAAAGGTATATCACTAATCTTTTTAATGTGACACTATTTGATCATTAGAAGGAAGCCTTGGACCAAAATTTTATGTTCCTCATATGTAGTTTTTACATTTGGCAACTCCCACTAAGTTTGAAATTCTGTTCGACCAACTTAAGCCCATTCCTTATTCCAACTTCAGAAAATGATAGGGGTTGGTTTAAAGTCAAGTTGATGAATATAGCTCACCAGTTCACCAAAGGTCATCCGAGACAGAAAAGTATTTCGATGCCAGAATATTTCAGAGCTTTGAAAGAACTTCGATGGAATTCAAATATAACCTTGCTCAGACCTGACAAAGGTTCAAGAGTTGTGATCATGACCAAAAGCGATTATCAATGCAAACTATTCTCTATTCTTGCTGATAAAAATAAATTCGGTTGAGATTGTTCTTCGGAAGCTGTGAAAGTACTATAGGGAGCGTTGACAGGTAATCAAACGAAACTCCTAAGCTTAAATATTGTCACTGAGGACAAATCCGACGCATTCAAGCTGACAGAATAAAAATCCACACATTTGTATGGCCTACCCAAATACACAAATCCGATTCTACTCTTCATCCTATATTGTCAATGTATAAATCACAAACACAGACGCTTGCTTAGTGGCTGGTGGAATTACTAAACCGAACCAAAAGAACACACACCAAGTACATCTTAAGAGGTATGTTTGAGTCGCATGACTACCTTAATGATATAAATCTTAGCAATAGAACTATGTGTTCCTTTGATGTTAACTTCATCTTCACTAATGTCCCTTTAGTCAAAACAACTGACATTTTGTGTGATTACACTACTACGCACAATTTGTCAATCCCAATCTCTTGACCTTACTTAAAACACTTATTGCTTTCATGTACTAACAATATAAAGTTTACATTTAAGTGTAAATATTTTCGTCAGATTGATGGTGTTGCTATGAGAAGCCCTTTGAGTACCCTTTCAGCAGACATTTGTATGTCGTATGTCGAAAAATTATCTGAGGATTTGATTGAAAAAGTCCCCATTTCATAAAAGATGTGTACATGATATCCTAATTAGAAGTGATGATCTTTGCTGCGCTACTTCACTTCTGAATCGAGTGAACGAAGAACAGAGTGGTATATCTTTACCCAGTGTAGAAGAGAACAATATCTGTCTATCTTTCTTAGATACACTAATCAGTCGATGGCAAGATGGATCAACAAAACGACTCATTTACAGGAAAACCTACATGGACCGGACAGTATTTAAATTATTACAGTTTTTTTCTGATCCAATACAAACAAGCTTGGGTGAGGTGCTTATTCGATCGAATTGAAAGAATATGTACAGCCGATGCGTTCGAAGAAGAGAGGAGATTATTGAAGGAGAAGTTCATCGGGAACAACTACCTATCGTAATTTATAATTCAACAGAACGCCGAGAAATATTGTCTACTTTTTCCCCAAGAAAGATGTATTAATCAAGCTACCGTACACCAGAGATGTAAGTAGCTTGATAGGCAGACAGAGTTAGCACTGTCATCAACAAAACATATTATGCAGCTAAGATTCAGATGATTGAGAATTCAAGGTGTATAATATACCCATGAAAGCTCTTGGGACAGGCGAAAGATGAAGTCATATACCATTGTGTTTAGCAATTTAAATTTACATATGGTCACATATACATAAGGAGGTTTCATCTAGCACTAAAAACTACGGTCACAGAACATATTCCAAGGTGGCTTATTAAATAATTTAAGTCACTAGACCGGATGGATGCTTGGAATAAAAGGTTTTCTCTTTAATAGCTAAACAGATTACTGAAATGGGGTATGAAATAGATGTACGAGATGTGCGAGAGTCGTAATCTAACTTTCAACTAATGTAACTGAGGTAACAAAATTTTCTATTCAGTGAATGTTTTTCTCAACCAGCTGGAGTTGAGAAGAGCTAAGGAGAAATTGCCCTATTGTTCTGTGCGCGACAATCGATATTCTTGCATTATCAAGCGACTCATACTCACACAGTGATTAGTTGCTGAGTAAAATAAACAAAAAATATATTAGTATCATTTACTTTTGAAGGATTTTAGAATTTATTAGCAGTGGTCCGAAGAATGCTTAAAAGATTAAGATTCACACTGTGTTTAGTTTCAGCTTCGACGGATCGTGAACTACTTTCCTTTACCTAAAGTACGTTTAGTATCTTGGGGATTGGGTAGCCGGTAAACTCTTAGATAGCTGACAAAATCATAAAAGTGTGACTAATATGACTGACGACTATTTGGAATGGTACAGGAACACTGTAGTTCGTGATATCGAACACTTTGTTAGTCGGTATCAGTTTAAAAGCCATATTTTAGCGCATTTACACGGTTAATTTGTAAGTGTGATAGCTTGAACTAATCCATAATTATTGTAGATCCGACTTTGTTTC